GTATCGACGATATTGGAACAGCCTATTCGATCCGTTTCCAAATCACTGATTTTAATCGGCACGTTTCTGTTCTATTCTTCTTCTGTTTTTCCTTCTTCTTTCCCTCTCTCTCTCTCTCTCACACATTCTCTCTCTTTCTCTCTCTCTCTCTCTCTGTCTTTCTCTTTCTCTTATTACTTTTACTTATTCTGAAACGATCGTCGTATCAAAACTAATCGAATCTGTAAAGCTTATCGAAAATCTTAACAAAAATTGGATGGGATAGAAGTAACGAAGAAAGGGGCGACTCGTAGACGCCATTTTGGAGAACGGAAATCCGAAAGATAAGTCTTACACTCGAATAAAGAGAAAGAAAACGAAAAAAGGAAAAAAAAAGAAGGGGAGAGAGAGAGAGAGAGAGAGAGAGAGAGAGAGAGAGAGAGAATCTCTAGTTTGGCTGTTCCTCTGGCATTCGATCGATCTGATAACGATTGGACGAATTTCGGAGGGAAAGAAGTACCATTTTGGATCCTATCCAAAAGTACAACGGTAGTGACGAGGAAAAAGCGTTCTCTTTTCGTCCCTATAAAGTCGAGTGTACGAAGCTTGTGCAGAATTTTCATCTCTCCTTTATCTCTCAACCCTTTGCCTTCCTGCCCTCCCTCCCTTCCTCCCTCTCTCTCACCCTCACTCTCTCTCTCTCTCTCTCTCTCTCTCTCTCTCTCTCTCTCTCTCTCTCTCTCTCTCATTCTTCTTATGATTAAAATGAGCAAGAAAAATCCATATTAAACGTAAAGTTTTGAAATGAAAATAAAATTGGGCGCAAAATTGGGCAAAATCTTTTCGAGTGGAACGTGTTAGGATCGATTCTTGATAGAAAACTTGGATGATGATAACCGTTCCAGAGTAAACGTGAATTCGATATGTTATAAAGGAAGTACCAAGTTTAATATTTGCAACAAGAATAAAATGAAAGGAGCGAAGCAGAGAAAGAGAGAGAGAGAGAGAGAGAAAGAAAGAGGAAGGAAGGAAGGAAGAAAGGGAACAAAAGAAGATTGCTGAAGGAAGGGTAAAGGATAACAAGAGAATAGTGTAAGTATATATATATGTGTGTATGTGTGTCCATGTATATATATATATATATATATACACACATTATATTATATATGATCCTTATATCGTATCGATGATGGAAGAGCTCGGAGGAGCTAAGCGTTACGAGAGAGATGACTGACAAGGTATTGCAGTGCCGAATAGTAAAAGTCAGAGAACAATGGATAAGCGGAATAGTACAACCAAGACCTTTGAGGCAATCGGATAACTAAAAAAAATCATGAAACACAATGGATGGCAATACGCCCTTCCTTCTGGCTCGCCCTCCCGGCTCTCTCTCTCTCTCTCTCTCTCTCTCTTCCTTCCCCTCTCACCACTCTCTCTCTCTTTCTCTCTCTCTCTTTTGCTTCTATTATTTCTCCTCTTCCTTCTATTTTTCCTCCTTGTTCTCTCTAAGCATTCCCTAACGTAATCTAACGTCCGCCCACCTTGCCCGCGACTCTGGCACACCCACTTGACCTCGATGTTAAAAGAAATTAAATTATGTAGGCACTAATACGCTCTATGTGCTTCCAAAAGGTCTGGTATTCTTAGACCGCCGGAGGTACGATGAACGATTAATTTCACGGAGCACGCTAGAAACATGCATTTTCTCTTTCTCTCTCTCTCTCTCTCTCTCTCTCTCTCTCTCTCTCTCTCTCTCTCTCTTTATATTTTTCGAATCCTTTTTCTATTTGTTTCTTTCCTTTTTTTATTAATTTTTTATTTATTTGTTACATCCTGACAAATCTCTTTTCCCTTACTATATCCTAAATGTTTGTAATTTCTTTTTTCTCTTTTTTTCTTTTTTGAAATTATTTCATTAACGTAGAAATACGTATTACAAATAAAAATAGTTTGGTAAGATTTAAGAATGATTTATCTATAAATGAATGAATTCGAAAGATCAATGATTTTTTTCCTCAACAATATAGAAAAAAAAAAAAAAGAAAAAAGAAAAAAAAAGAAAAAGAAAAATAAAAGAGAGTATAAAATCTGTAGTGCCATCTAACAACGTATAACGTAAGTTGAGAAGAGAAAGATAAATCGTTCGTTACAGGAAATGACATTATCATATTATGAACGGTCGATCAAGTAGAAAACTAAATAAGATTTTCAATAGAAATTTAACTTATTGATGATAGCAATGGATAAGTAAGCTAATGACTTTATCCTCAAATCTATTTAGATATAGTTATGTATATTTAAATTGAAAATCTAATAGTAAACGTTACGTTAACTGTTACTGTAAACAATATGACGCAACTATAAATTATACGAGTATAAATCTGTCTGAAAATAAATCTTAATCATACATTGAAAAGTTCAATTGCGATTTCATAAGATTATTAAATGATATTATAAAATATTTAAACAATGTTATGAAAATCTTATTTATTTATTAATGAATCCTGATGTTAGTACTTACCTTGTAAATTGTCCAGCATATACGACAGCAGCTTGTGAGTTCCAGATGGTTCTCCGTACAATGCCATTACCTCCTTGCTGAGAGGATTACCTTGAAGTCCTAGCACTTGTAACTGGAATAATTTTCCTAACTCGTACGGTAACACGCGAAGATAGTTTTGGTTTAATAACAACTCCCTGAAATAAAAAGAAATATTGTAAATATGGAGAAACAAAAAAAAAGAAAAGGAAAAAGAAAAAAGGAAAAAAGAAAAGAAAAGGAAAGGAAAAAAATCTAAAATATTATTTTAAACGTTTAAAGATTCGTACCTGAGATAGATGAGGTCCCCCAGTTCCGCAGGTAAACTGCGTAATTTATTGCTACTCAGATCTAAAGCACGTAAATTCGTTAAACGGCATATCTCTGATGGTATTCTTTGTAAACTATTGCCATTTAAATACAATGCTGTCAGATGAGTTAGCTGCCATAAATTTGGACTCAAATTTCTTATACTGCCTGTTATCTCCAACTCCGGCCAATAAGATTTCTTCCCGGAGTTTGCATCCTCCGTGGACATGATAGTGTGCGTACGATGTGGATTAGAATTTTCATACTTGTCCTTGTGATTACGGGACATCTTAAATCCTTTAAACAATAGAAAAAAAAAAATTCATGTTAATATACCTTGTAATATGGTCATTAATAATATTATATAAATACTGAGATACGTATGTAAAACAATCAAAGTAATCTTTTTCTAAATCTATGCATGATCAGCGATCAACAGCTGTGCTTTCGCAAACAATAAACTAATCTATATAATGACATAATAATCTATTGGTGCTCGTGATACTAAATATTTTTTAATTTTGCATAGAATCTCTAGAAGTGTGAAATATTGTGAAAAAAAAGAAAAAGAAAAAAAAAAAAAAAGAAAGATAGCACTTAGTGTTCCCTCTTAACATTTGATTAAAAGAAAAATAACTAAGGTTATAATATGTTAATGGAGCTATCGCTGTGCACGAATAAAAATTAATATATCCCATGAATAAATTATAGAAAGCTGCAATATGTTAGCTTCTATTTCACACGTCATGATAAAATGTGCTTTAATCGTAATTTTATTATCTTATTTGCTCATAGACAAAGTTTATAAGTATAGTATAAGAAAGTTCGAATAAAATTTTCATTGGGTGTAAACTTGTTCAATTAGGTTAGAATAATGAATAAAAGTAATTTAAACGTTAAAATTGAAATATAGTAAACTTTCCCATACATTACTTAACATCGCCGTAATATTATCGCTAAACTCATAACCTATGTTGAAGAAGCAATGATATTTGAATAAAATTCGTTTAAGATGAAAAGATCTAAATGTTATTAACATTATTATCGATTAATGGCTAAACGTAGATTATGATAATATCCTCGTAAATATAAATTTGTAGAGAGTAACTGTCATATTTCAATGTGGAAATAATCCTTCCTTCCTACAAAGTTCATATGTTCCGGACGACAGATCCTTTGAGTTGAATTAACTTTCTCAGCAGCAAGACCATTCGTACCTGTCAATTTTAATGCGAAAACCGAAGGATACTGTTACGCACCTTCATCTACCTCTTAGCACACACGAAACACGCGAGGAGTTGATTCCGAGTGAAAATTATCGCGTAAACAAAACTACCTTGACAAACACAAATCCTCCATTTATCAACTGCACCGATCGTGAACTACAAACGTTTCTGATTGGCTACTCTACTGCCGAATCTTCCCGAAACAGACGAAATTACCGAACAAACTTACGAGATAACTTTGTCACTAGAGAGCTCGTACGCATAGGGAATTTCGCTCATAACTAAACGTCGTCCCCGTGTCGTTGATATTAAATACTAACTAGAATTCTATGGATTCTTATTGGTCGAAACTAAAGATCTTTTATATGTAAACCATGAAGGCAAGAAAAAAAAAAAAGGGGAAGAAAGAAAAAAACACATAAACGATTATACACGTATGAGAACAAATAATGACGATTTTATAATCGATTCAAATAACAAAATATCGTTAAAATCTATAATATTCGTATAAATAATACAAACTTTATCTGAATAGTCGCATTGAACATTAATGCCATCTTGAAACGAATATAGGAAATATACTAGTTAAAAGTCTAATCCTCGAATTATTCTTACGTTTATCATTTATAATTATTTCTAAATTTATAAATATATTTTAAAAGTCGATCGATTATTTCCTCGGGAAGAAAATTTACATAATAATAGTAACATTATTATTTCTCATGAATGATATAATAAATATCGAAATAAATGAATTATCTCGAGCTTTGTTTATGTATTATATGATTACACTGACGATGTTTGCGTCTTCCGATAATTTTGTTCGCCTACACGAAAAAATCCTTTTCATCATATGATCTCTCTTTTTTTTTTTTTTTTTTTTTTTTTTTATTCAATTCTAAAAGGTATAATTCTAGTTAATACATAGGCACATATATATATATATATATATATATATATATATATATATATATATATATATATATGTATCTATTGTTCTCACAATATATCTATTCCACGTAACGTAAAGTTTCCGCTTACACAGCAAAATAATGTTACATTCAAAACAAGAAGCGTTTAGAAGCCATCGGAATGGCTATCGAGCCAATCTTGATTACTATGAAATAAATCGCGTAAAGAATATAAAATTGACGAATACCCGAAGAAATTTTATCGATGAGAAAAAGGAAAAAAGAAAAATAGGAAAGAACTTTCTTACGTTTGTAAATTATTAAATAGCAACTTGTTTAAAACTCTTTGACGATAAAAAGGAAAAATGTAAAAAAGAAAAAGGAAAGAAAAACGAAGCTTTTTGATTTTCAGATCGAATAAAATGTGGTCTATGTAACGTAACGACGTCTTATTCCTATGAAAATTCGAGCGTATTATATCACGGAAAATTAAGTTCCAAAGGAAACCGAACTGAATCATGCTAAGAGCAGAACGTTCAACGGTGAATGCATTTCAGTTTCCATGCAGACGCCTCCGCGTCTAGACGGCTCCATGCTTGGCTATCCACGTTACCAAATATATATACATACATATATATATATATATATATATATATATATATATATGTATATATTTATATATATGTATACATCGAAACTCTTTCTAGCTGAACGCGAAAATTTACAAATTAATACTGTTGATAATTTTTCAACAATTTAAATAATCTGTAATTCGTAATTCTACTAATTCGTAATTCTGTAATTGTAATAATTCGCAACGCGATTTAGTACAATACATTAATATTTAAACAATAGTACTTTAATTTAAACATTAAAGTAAGACGATAACTCGCGAGAAACATAAAATAATTTTAATATGAAATTATGATATTTAAAAATTTTTAATCTCGAGCTAGTTGGCCTAAATTAATATAAATATATTCGGTCTTTTTAATTAATTTAACGATTATCGTATTCTCCTTTGTTCTTCGACGATTAAACGTCGAAGATCTCGCAAGATGTCTTTGCCGCAAATATCAATGAATATTTAAAGTAAATATATTTTTATATCACACATTTCTTCAATAATTTATTTATTGTTATAATAAGTTTTTTTTTTTTTTTTCATTGTAACAGTGATATTAATAATTTTGTTTTTATTTTTCTATTTCAGAATATCATTGTAAGCGCGGACGCGAAGTAATAATGTAATCGAATGATACATATTGCTGCTAAATTTAAAATATCACGAAATAGAAGTAGTAATTGTTCGAAAAGCTTATTACTTTTTTAATAGTCACACAGATTGTATTTATAGAAGATTATAGAGTTTTGCGAATGTGACTTCAATGACTGTTCGTTAAAAGTAACTATCGGTCAGTAATATAGTCAGTGCATCATTGAAGAGGATCTCGATCAACTTCAATATGTTCAAGCAACTACAGATCATTCATTCTTAATTTCGATCTAAATCACGGACGAGTATTTTGGAGGCAAACTTCTTAAGTTGTAAGTGAATTTTTAAAGTCCTTTCGAACGCTCAATCATGTCGAGGACAAAAGGTCCAAATCGGTACAGAATGATTGATTGTCGTGTCATAAATTTTACATATTTTCTCCTTTCTAAAGTTCAATTGAATTCATTATATTATTTTAATAAAAACGAGTTCTATATTAAAGTCATAGATACGAAATGTATAAGATATGACAATTGTGGAGATCACTGTGAAACTACATTGAATAAAGGTGCCAATAGAGTTGAAGGAAGTACACTTGGGATGTGTGCCAACTTCTCCCTTTGCCACGCGTTACGAGAAAAGAATATTTGTTTAGATTAGGGTCGAAAATTTCTCATTTTCTTTTTCTGATTTAAATTTTAATAAATAAAATAGGTTTAAATTCGAAATGGAATCATTAATAAATAATATTATATAATTAATATTGAAAAAATATAACATTCCTTGCAACATTACGAAGAACGTAAGACACGATCAATATAAAATAAATTTTATTTTATTTTTTAACGAATATAAATCGCAAACTCAAGAAAGAATAATTAATAAATAAGATCATTTCATTAATATTTAATTGGAATCTAAATTCTTGCTAAGTTCATTCGTGTCATCACGGAAATGAGAATTTTAGAGTAGAGTCATTGTTAAGGATCTTCAGATGTAACAATTTCCGTGGTGAGACTTGGATCGATACTACTTGCGATATATCAAAATCTAGATAAAGATTATACATTGCAAATACTATCGAGCGAATGGCTGAATATATTTCAATGTTATCTTAAATATTTACTTTTTAATTACTTAATTATTTAACATGCACATAGAAACTTAGATTAGATAGAATTATGAAATGATTTCTTTCTTCTCTCTGAGTATCTTACTGAAAAATTCTAATCTTTATACAATTCTTTCAATTTTACTTTAATATCTTCGAAATACGTCGATTTAAATTTTTTATAAGGTATATGAGATATAATCTTCCTTCAAGTATTAATAAGCACATCGATTGCACAATAGGTGCATAATGAGAACAATATTTTCCACTATAGCACTTGTAATTCATATGTTATTAATATTATACGTTTAAGTTATATTACGCTAGAAATGATATATCGTCGCCTGTAGGTATATTACAATTTAGACGTCGTGTAAACCGTCTAAACAACATTCAGGCGTCGATGTAGTATTTTTAAGTAATGAAAACAGTTTATACGAGTTACGATTAGTTTATACCGGAAAATTTGCTGTACGAAAAAATACAAAAAAAAAAAAAAAAAAAAAAAAAATATAAGAAGTAATTGTTTTTTTTTTTTTTTTTTTTTTTTTTTTTTATCAACTATGTATTTCCGGAAATGTAGAATTTCGATGGCTTCGGCAACAAGGCGAAGATACTACTAAAAGTGACGTAACCGCAAACGTTCATCAATCGTAATGGCTATTCCCTCGACCACAAAACTAAATGGAACTCATTTCACGATGATTTTATCATTATAGCGCTTCGATTCGTTCCTATCTTAAATCCAACTTTCATAAATTTTCTCTTGATTCCCTTTTCTTGTTTCTTGGACATATAAACATAAAAAAAAAAAAAATTAATAAATATATTGTATATATATATGTATATATTCAATATTATTGCACTCCGAAAATAAACATGAATATTGAACGATATCAAAAAGTGAAAAGATATTTCATATTTTCCTGTAAATCCAAAATCCGTGATAGTATACCCGAGAGAATTTCTCTAAGATATATTTGCTTATCCCTCGTATATGACGGATTAGATCCATACTCGTATGGGACAGAACTCGTAATCTTGCTGGGAAAAGAGCAACGTGACAAATAGGGAAGGATGCGCCCTTAAATCGATAACCGTCACTGACAAACTTTAGGGGAGATTGCGCTCTTTGGTTCTCATGCTCTCTTCCTCGAACGAAAATATATTTCATCTTTGAACAGGTGCAACCCTTTTTTCTTTTTCTTTTCTTTTCTTTTCTTTCTTTCTTTCTTTCTTAAGAAGAAATATTTACTTACAAATTTATATCCTTTCGTGAGCCGATAATCGCTTAAGATTTCAATTAATCGACGATACTATAAAAAAAAAAAAAAAAAAGAAAAAAAAAATGTAAAAAGTAAAAGAAACAAAATCTGTAATTAATTCCTGGGAGACGTAGCGCGAATATTATTCTTAAAAAATACGAAAGTACATTGGTCCTTAAACTTTAATGCGAAGCACGATTCTCTCATCTTCCTCGTTTACGTCCTACACGTCTGGTCGCAAATTCTTTACCAACCGTACATCTCCCCGTTGCGAATTGCCTCGTACTCTTGAGATTTATGCCACGAATTTATTGTAGAACGTGTCTGACAGGCCTGTCTACGTTAGAAATGAATTCATGAAAAGACGAAATTCTATTTTTTTTTTCCATTCTATAGTTATGATCTTTCATGATCGATGAGATATCTATACATATTCAAAAAAAAAAAAAAAAAAAAAAAAAAAGAAAAAAAAAATAATACAATATAATAAATAAAATCAAACCTTCAACATTTGTCAAATCATGAATTGCAAAGAATACGTGGTTAATAAAAACTGAGAGAAAAAAAAAATAAAAAAAAATATGTATATACATATATATATGTATATATATATGTATATAAATAAATAATAAAGTAATATATATAAGGAAGAAGT